GTACCGGGCATGGTATATTGGTTCACAATCCCCTGGGACTTACAAAACTCATAAAATGGACCAGGAGCTTGACCCACATCAGTATGTCTACCATAATATTCACCTCCTCTATCTGATCTTACAACTTTTATCTGACGATCAAGTTGTTTTTCAACTTCAGTTTTATAATCTTTAAAAGTTGTAAGTGATTCAGATTTTTTCTTAATAAGATACAAGTACATATATCGAGAATAATCATCAATATAAGTGATAAATGAGTTATGTCCAGTTATGCCAGTGATAGAGTAAGGACCACTAATGTCAGTGTGAATGAGCTCTAATAAATTAGAACTTCTAGTGGCACCTTTCTTATTCACTAAGGTCATTTTACCTTTAAGGCATTTGACACATGTTCCAAAATCATTGAAATCGAGAGATGGTAACATTTCATGCTTCACGAGTCTAGATAAACGTTCTCGTGAAATGTGGCCTAAGTGTTGATGCCACAACATGGATGAAGTTTCTAAGTCTCGTTTTCGTTTTCTCTTTGTTAGTGTCTGGTTGATATTATATGAAAACAAAGATTTGGAAAAATCATCATCTAGTTCTAATTTATAGAGACCACCATCCAGAAAACCATGACCAAACACTTGAGAATTTAAACTAATAGTAAGTCTGCCATGACCATGAGAAACATCAAAACCGTCTATGTCTGACTTTAGTCCTGATACTAAATTCCGAGTAATCTCGAGAATATATAAGGTATCATAAAGTTTAATACATAAACCAGTTTTCATTATTAATTCTAAGTTTCCCACGGCTTCGACAACTAGTTCTGTTCCATTCCCCAGTTTAAGTGTTCTTCGGTTTCTTTCCAGCTTCTGGATTGTAAGGAATCCCTGAAGTGAGTTGGTTACATGAACCATAGAACCAGAGTCAAACCACCATGTATTAGTTGGAACATTTAAATTAAAGGACTCAAGTATCATGTAAAGATGATTACCTTTCTTCGTCAGCCACTCCTTAAAGTCTTGGCAGTCTTTCTGTCTATGTCCTTCCTTGCGGCAGAACTTGCAGTAAGACTTCGCTTTGGAGTTCTTACAGCCGGAAGAAACACTTGCATCACGTTTTTGGACTTTAGAAACATCCTTCTTATCGACATTGCCCTTCCTCTTCTTTGGGTTAGCGGTCATGAGGTAAGCCACATCCGGTTTGTCCAACTTCAGACGCTCTTCTTCTTGTACACACATAGCAATCAACTCATTCATCAACCACTTGACCTTCTGGGTGTTGTAGTTGACCTTGAAAGCTTCAAAAGA